CCTCCTGGAGATCTCGGTCTCGTGGATGTCTGACTGGACGGTACCTGGGTCTCCTGACTGGAATTGATTGTGACCTGAGTGGCAGAGATCTCTTGGATAGGCGACGTGAAAATCACACCCCCCGCCTCCACCCCATGCGCCGCCGTGGGGGGGGGGTGAAAAACTGGCTCTCCTGCTGAGGCTGGTGGGGCTGCTGCTGCTGCTGCTGGAGTCCCAGGGTCCCGACCAACCGGTCCTGCTGCTGCCGCCGCTGCTACTGCCGCTGCCTGCTGAGGTTCACTACATTGGCCCCGCATGTCCTTCCAATACTGAAAAAGCTGCCGCTGGCCTGGGTCTAAGATGTCGTCCGTTGGTGTCTGCTGTGAGGGATGTTCCTGCATGAACCTCAGCCGTTCCAAATTGGAAACTGATCCTCTTCCTCCTCCTCCTCCTCCTCCTCCGTCCTCCTCCGTCCTCCTCCGTCCTCCTCCGCCCTCCTCCGCCCTGCACCGCCCTCCTCCGCCCTCCTCCGCCCTCCTCCGCCCTCCTCCGCCCTCCTCCGCCCTCCTCCGCCCTCCTCCGCCCTCCTCCGCCCTCCTCCGCCCTCCTCCGCCCTCCTCCGCCCTCCTCCGCCCTCCTCCGCCCTCCTCCGCCCTCCTCCGCCCTCCTCCGCCCTCCTCTCCTCCTCCTCCGCCTCCTCCGCCCTCCTCCGCCCTCCGCCCTCCTCCTCCGCCTCCTCCTCCTCCTCCTCCTCCTCCTCCTCCTCCTCCTCCTCCTCCTCCTCCTCCTACCCTCCTCCTCCCCCCCTCCCTCCTCCCTCCTCTTCCTCCTCCTCCCTCCCCTCCTCCTCCCTCCCTCCCATCCCTCCCTCCCCCCCTCCCTCCTCCCTCCCCCTCCCCCTCCTCCTTCCTCCTCCTCCCCTCCTCCTCCTCCCCTCCTCCTCCTCCTCCTCCTCCCCCCTGCTCTGCCCCTGCTCCTCTCCTCCTCCTCCTCCCTCCTCCTCCTCCCTCCTCCCTCCCTCCCTCCCGCCCTCCTCCTCCTCCTCCTCCTCCTCCTCCTCTTCTTCTTCTTCGTCTTATTATTCTTCTTATTGTTACTAGTATTCATCTTCTTATTATTAGTCTTAGTCTTCTTATTATTACTCTTATTATTCTTCTTCTTAGTATTCTTATTACTCTTATTATTCTTATTATTCTTCTTATTATTATTAGTAGTATTATTATTATTCTTATTCATATTCTTCTTCTTATTCTTATTATTATTATTATTATTATTCGTCTTATGGTGCTTCTTCTTATTCTTCTTCTTCTTCTTCTTATTATTATTCGTATTCATATTCCTCTTATTATTATTCTTATTCTTATTCTTATTATTATTATTATTCTTTTTCTTCTTATTCGTCTTATGATTTTTATTATTATTATTCTTGTTATTATTCTTCTTATTAGTCTCCTTATTATTCTTATTCTTCTTATTCTTCTTATTAGTCTCTTTAGTATTATTATTATTATTATTATTCCTCCTCCTCCTCCTCCTCCTCCTCCTCCTCCTCCTCCCTCCTCCTCCCCCTCCTCCTCCTCCTCCTCCTTCCTCCTCTCTCCCTCCTCCTCCCTCCTCCTCCTCCTCTCCTCCTCCTCCTCCTCCTCCTCCTCCTCCTCCTCCTGTTCCTGCTCCTCCTCCTCCTCCTCCTCCTCCTCCCTCCTCCCTCCTCCCTCCTCCCTCCTCTCATCGCCTCGCAGCTGCGCCCTGCGGTGGCATCCGGGATGTGCTAGGACGGGCGAGGCCCCAGCGGAGGTGAGCGGGAGCTCTCGCGCTGTCCATCCCCACTCTGCGGCACAGGTTCCGCCCGGCACGGGTGGCCACCAGGGCTGCCCTGGATGGATCCCCCTGTCCCCCTCGTCCTGGGGCGGGACCCCAGCTGTAGCGCCCTCCTGTTCTGGGATATCCCGCTCCCAGGTATTTGGGGGTGGTGTTGCTGGGCCTTCCTGTGGTCGAGGTGGGGCGGGGAGGGTGCCCCAGGGGAGGTACCCCTAGGAGTCTCTCGGACCAAGTGGCGCCGTGGCGTTGCGGTACTAGACCCCCGCGACAGGTGGCGAGCTGTCCCCCAGCCATCCCTGAGTGGGAGGTGCCGCTAAAGAGGCAGTGCCCGCTGCCTCACCAGATTGCTTACCCAAGCCACCACCACCACCACCACCTCCTCCCTCCTCACTCCTCCCTACTCCCTCCTCCTCCCCCCCTCCACCTCCTCCTCCTCCTCCTCCTCCTCCTCCTCCTCCTTCCTCCTCCCCCTCGTCTTCCTCCTCCTCCCTCTCCTCCTCCTCTCCTCCTCCTCCTCCTCCTCCTCCTCCCTCCTCCCTCCTCCCTCCTCCCTCCTCCTCCTCCCTCCTCCCTCCTCCCTCCTCCTCCTCCCTCCTCCCTCCTCCCTCCTCCCGCCTCCTCCGCCCTCCGCCCTCCGCCCTCCCCCTCCTCCTCCTCCCTCCTCCCTCCTCCCTCCTCCCTCCTCCCTCCTCCTCCCTCCTCCCTCCTCCCTCCTCCCTCCTCCCTCCTCCCTCCTCCCTCCTGCCTCCTCCCTCCTCCCTCCTCCTCCTCCTCCTCCTCCTCCTCCTCCCTCCTCCTCCTCCTCCTCCTCCTCCTCCACCCCTCCTCCTCCTCCCTCCCCCTCCTCCCTCCTCCTCCTCCTCCCCTCCTCCCTCCTCCCTCCTCCCTCCTCCCTCCTCCCTCCTACCTCCTCCCTCCTCCCTCCTACCTCCTCCCTCCTCCCTCCTCCCTCCTCCCTCCTCCTCCTCCTCCCTCCTCCCTACTCTCCGCCTCCTCCTCCTCCCTCCTCCCTCTTCTCCTCCTCCTCCTCCTCCTCCTCCTCCTCCATCCTCCTCCTCCCTCTCCTCCCTTCTCCTCCTCCTCCTCTCCTCCTCCTCCTCCTCCTCCTCCTCCTCCTCCTCCTCCTCCTCCTCCCTCCTCTCCTCCTCCTCCTCCTCCTCCTCCTCCTCCTCCTCCTCCTCCTCCTCCGCGCTCCGCGCAGCCTGGGGGGTCCCCCTCCCCCATGCCTCCCCCTGCGCGCGTCACTGATGCTCCCAGCGACGGCGTGTGAGTGATGCTCCTTCTGCCGCCCGAGCTCTGCCCCTGCTCGGGGAGCGCAAAGGCGGGCGGCCGCCCGCTCGCGGGTGGGGGAGGGGGAGGGGGGCGCGTCTGTCCCCCATTGCTTTCGCTGCTGCTGCTTTCGGTGCCTCTCTATTCTCACCGGTCATGTCTTCGAATTGCAAGCTTCATGAGCAGGCTGCCTCGCTTTCGGTGGTGGACGCCAAGTCACGCAAGCAAATAGGCACAAATCCCAAGGTTCCTACTGTTTCCTCATATGTTCGGTGTTTTTGTCCTCCCCATCCGCTGTCTATTTTTTCCCATGTGTTCATGGAACTCGATGCTCATTTGCGGCTGTGTCGTTTCCTCCCCTCTGAAAATGGACCGATGATCGTCAGAACGTGAATTGGCGCCAATGCGTGCTTATCCACCGAAGCCGTTCGATACGACGCAGGCGGTGCACAACTCAAGCAGGGGCCAGCACAGGTTGCGTACTGCTTTCGGAGCTGCACGGGGCAAACCCATATGGGGCTACAGTCAACCCATCCAGTAAGGATGCGCGGTAAGGATGCAAGGGCCTTGGAAAGCCATGTTGACGTTTCTCGAGTGGGGCTGGCCAGCGAAAGTTGCAAGGGATGGGCCGAAGGGAAAGAATGCAGGGGGCAACCTTGGAAAATCGATAATCCCTACGGTGCGGGTTGACTGTACCACGCGTCCTGCGGATCGTCGGGAGGGGGGAAGGCGGGCGCCCGCACGGCCGGCCAGCCGGAGGGCCCTGCGAGAGGGGTTGGGGAAGAGGGGAAGCTTCGAGCCCCGAGCTGATGACGAGGGCCGCAGCTTCTGGGGTGCCATTTTCGCCCGGGCCCACGGGGGGGCGGCTTGGATCCCGCCTCGGAGCGCTGGCCAGAACGCATCCCGTAGTGGGTCTGGAGGTCGACTTTCGGAGGGGAGGGAAGGAGGAGGACGAGGGAGAGAAGAGGGAGAAGGAGGGAGGGAGGGAGGGAGGATGAACAGTAAGGCAGGCGCCATGAGGGATCAGGCTCTCGCGGCGTGGAGGCGGAGGCTGAGAGGGAGGGGGGAGGAGGAAGTAGGACAGAGACTGATAGGATGAGCAGAGGATGCGGAGGAAGGGGAAGAGGAAGGAGGAGGGAAGACAGAAAAAGGGGGGAAGGACTGGCCAATGATGAGCCAGCGAGGGCTGCCACGACCATGGTCTGGTTTAGTTCACCCAGAAGGAAGGTCCAGCTCCAGCTGAAAGGGGGTGGTGCAATAGATGTGGGGCAATAGTATTGAAAGTGTATTGCGCCAGAGAATTGGATTGCATTGCATTGCAGCTAGTGTATTGCACGCGAAAGCTCGGCAATACATTTGCGCACTGCACGTCCCAGATCGAGTGCAACCGCACAAGTTTATTGCACCAAATCTATTGCACCACCCTCTTTTCGCCGGACCCCCTTCTGGGTCGACCAGCTCTGGGCAGTGGCAGCAAATCCCGACGGCCAGAACAGGAGCACACCCCAAACAAGCGCTGCTTGCGAAGTGCAGTGCTGGACGCAAGCCAATACGAGTGCGGCCCATCATGCAGGAAGCAGGCCGAGAGACCCCTACAGTCTGACTCGATTGGACAGGACACGCGAGAGGACACAAGACCCTTCCGAGGGCCACATTGCCGCAGGAATGTAGGAAGCATGGGTCGCGAGACAGAGGACACAAGGGTGTACCCTTGATTTGACAGGGTCGACCTACTCATCTGGGCCGACTGTACCCACCCTGCGGAAGACACACAAGGTCGCCAGGCAGAAACTGACGAGTGACACGCTGACGGGCTCCCAACGGCGGCGCGCCACGAACCACTGCTCTCTTTCCCTCCCGCACTTTCTCATGCTGCTGCAACCACCGGGGACCGCTCGGGCACGAGGCGGCCGGACTGGCACGGTGGGGTGGGCCTTTGCGCAGGCGGTGGCCACCGCGCTGTGCGATAGACTGTCCGGCTCGACGAGCGCCTGCCGGAGCTCCTGGGCCCGGGGATGGTCAAGGGCAGCTTGGGTGCAGAGCAAGAGGTTGACAAATGAGACACAGGGGCAAGCGCCAACGAGAACCCATCGGGGAGGTGTGGGAATCGACCCCTGGGAGTTGGTACTCCCGAATATCACCGAGTGCCGGACGAAAAGACGACTGAGGGAATGAGCTTCTCCGCTTCGGGGAACGCAAGCCCCAAGACGGCAAGGAGCTTTCCCCTAGATAACGCATGGGCCCAAGGGGGTGCCACGGTCGTTGGGACGTGCGTTCCCGACGGTGGACCAAATTCTTTTATGTAGTGACGACCGCACACCGGATCGCGATCCTTTGCGCCACTAATGCGGCTGCGCGCGCTGTTCCAAATGAATTTGCCGATCTCGCTGCCTTTGCCATGTTGGGCCGCCGCACGGTTTCGAGCAAACACATGACATTCAGAAAACAAGACGAGTGAACCCTCTCATAGTCCAACCACGGAGTCGGGGCGACTGAGCAACGCGAATATTCAATTACCACGGATGCATCCCGTGTGAGAAGAATCGGGAAGACGTAAAACTCGAATTTCTGAGACTCGAATCTGCCGAACAGGCCGTCCGAAAAATTACGGAACCTAGTCAGAAATGTGGCGCGAGCTCCGGCTGCAGACATCTCCCGAACACTTGACCGTCTCAACACTCGCGCCAGTCGTGAACAAGCGGCGGCAAACCAGAGTTCTTGCAAACTCGGGAGTTCCTGTACCCAGAAGAACGACGGCCCAAGAAAGGACTTCGGGGAGGCGTCAGAGCATAGCTAACGTCCTCATCTCGTGATTTTGCTGCGCGGGGCCAGATTTGTGGACGCCCCGAGTGGGGAACATTCAAAGCTGGCCAGCAGATGGGAGTCTTGGGAGATAGACATCGCGCCCAAGGGAGGCTGGGGCATGCGGGACGTGCCCAGCACATCACGACCGTATGTGCTCCCGATCACCCCCAGGAGGGGGGGGGGGGACATGCTGTCTGAGTGCGGGAACCCTGGTGGCCCACAGCCTGGCCTGTGCCCAGCAACGCCTGCGCAGAAGCACGCGCGCCGGGCCTCCATCAGGGCCAGGCTGCTCGCCCACGGCAGGCCCCTCTCGCACGCGGAGGCCAAGGCGTTGAGCGTCACCACGCTGGGGCTCACCAGCTCCGACCTCATCTCCCGGAGCAGGGCCAGCGCCGCCGCCCAGCGGTGGCCCTGGCACGCGCCGCGGCGAGGGCAGGCGGGGCGGAGGGATCTGGGGTTGCGAGGCCGAAGAGGCATGAAGCCCGTCAGCGGAATGCAGCACGCAGCTGGCAGAAACTTAGTTGCACTAGGAAATCTGCACGGGCGCCAAGGCAGGTGTCCCAAGGATTGGAAAGGAACAGCACGATACACTGAGACATGACAAGAGAACGACGCGGAACGAGTGAGGAGGGAGGGAGGGACGGGAGGGAGGGGGAGGGAGGGGGTGTTAGAAGAACGGGGTGACTAGCAGAGCGACTGCTGAAAGCTGGTCGCCCCAAACAACTAACAACGAGCGGGCTCCTGTCCACTCTAAGGCTGATTGGCCCTCCTCCTCCAATGCTGCACGCTCTGGCATCGTACAAGAGAGAGCGCGTTTCCCAGGTGCATGGGAGCGACATGTTCTCAACACGTGGACGCCCCAAAAAACATCCCACGCATCCAGAGAATCGGGCTCCCCCCTCCCCCTTCACATAGCAACCCCCTCCCCACTGGCGAAGCGGAACCCCTCCACCCCCTTCACACAGCAGCCCCACTCCTCACAACCTCCCCCCCGCACCCTCGCGCAAGGGAGGGGGAAGGGGCATCACATCCCCTTCCTCTCGCGGGCGGGGGGGGGTCAACCCCACCCCCTCCTGGACGACCGACGACGACGGGGGCGGGACATTCAAGCAGCGGGGGCGTCAGGCTGGCGGGACATTCAAGGGCGCGGTTCGGTCGGGAGGGACGCTGAAACGGAGGGAGGACAACAGTAGATGTAAAATTCGCTGGTGGGCGGGGCATACTTGCGAGAAAACCACGCTGCAAAAACGAAGACGACGAAGAGACGACGACGACGACGACGACGACGACGGGCGGGACACACATTGAATGTAAACAAAATTCTGGCTACCAAGACGAGGACAGAAAACAGTAAACGAATCGGAGGAAAACGACGACGTCGACGGGCTGGTGAGACATCAATCCGAGCGGGCGGGCGGGACATCAGATGTGAACTTCTCTTGTCAGCGGGCTTCGGCCCCCCCCCCCCTGTAGGGGAGGTGAGCCCCACCCCGGTTTCCGACGTCCGGGATGTTTTGGGGTGGTTGGGGTGGGGGAGGGGCCAGGTTTAAAGCCTCCCCCCCTCAAGCGACCACAGAACGTGTTCGTCATTATACAATGCGTACGCGTAGACATATGTGAATATCTTCATATACATCTATATACATACACGTGTAAAATAACTATATCAGGCATCATTTGAGACCAACCTCCTATCACCCGAAGGATGGTGTTGTAGGCAGTCGTCTGGGAACGGCCACTGCCTAGCAACAAGAGAAGACCCCCGACTCCCGAGACCCCCGACGAAAAGTTGTTCTACAGCATGGAACCCCAGGAGGGCTCGATCCTTCCCCGGGCACGCGTTGTCCATCCAGCTGCTCCTGCGGCTCGGCACGGGCCCCTGGCGGCAGGAAGTCGCCTGACGCCTTCCGTCGCCACGTCCTCACGACGCGACGGATCTTGGCCTGGTTGCTCCCAGACCCAAGCTCGGGACTCCGGTGGAGCTTCGGGGCGATTCGGATCCCATCCTGAGAGCTCTCGACGCGGCGCAGCTGCTCGAAATCACCGGGGGACGAGACGTCCAAGACTCCACGAGCACGTCCTGGACCCCCACTCGCGGGAGGGAGGAAAGGTCCCCGACGACAAGACACCTAGAGACCAACGAACACGTCCTGGACCCCTGGCGGGAGAGATGTCACCGACGATGGAAAGACACACGAGGGCCAACGACAACGCCCTGCCCCCTGGTAGGAGTGACGCCAGAGGCCTCCTGGACGGGGTCGGAGTGGATGGCGTCGGAGGACGTCGCCGCATCGCCGATGCATCGACGATGCAGCGGCGACTTCGGCGTGGATAAGATCGGGCTCGGCATTGAGCCACATCGCCGATGCGGAGCGATCCTTCGACCTGACCACATCTACTCCGGCCCCCACTTGGGAGGCCCAGAAAGAGAGAAAGAGAGAAAGAGAGAGAAACCCTCCCGAACAGCAAAGGAACCCTGGCGACAACCGAGCCGCGGCCTGGTCGCAAGCCGCGATGGCGCAATTGTACGACGCGGTGTCCGCGCGCAGCGCCCGCGCCCGCAACCGGCTCAGCAGGTGCAGCGCTAGCGCCCACGGACGCCCCGCGCCTCCGGCGCGCGCGCCCGCGAGGGGGGCGGTCTCTGAGAGCCTCAGGGGGGGAAGCGGGGGGAGGCGTCACGGCGGCCAGATCCGCCCCGTAAGAGAAACAAGCGATGACCTCAACATCACAACTCAAAGGTCCGCGCGGATTTCTTGGATCGGCACTGGACCCCACCGGTGCCGCCACTGGCGCGCTCCGCGTGCATGGGGGGTCAGCGCCGATCCAAGAAATCTGCGCGGACCTCCGCGATGTTCTGTTTATGTCGTCGATGAGCTATTCTGAGATCCGCCCCCTGGAGGAACAAGTGACGAGGAGTATGTATCCTGAGAGGCCTCGTCCGTCTGCTCGCTAGTCTGAAATCGCCCTGCCTCCTCTTAGTCGTCCCCGCTCCTGCTCCCCATGTCGTCCCGGGCATCTCCACCTCGCCGTCCGCCCTCTCCCCCTGTTGTTTCGGTATGTGGCCCGTGGAGCTTCTGACTCTGATAAGGAGCATCCTGGAGGCCCCGCGCAGCAACTCGAGGCCAAATGCATGTCGAACCCACACCGGATTTGCATCGGGTGTGCGTTGGACTTGCGTCGGAGCATCGTCGCGCGAACGTCGTCCCATCTCTTGCGGGGCAGACGTGCGGACTAGATAACACAACTGTTGCGCGCCGCGAGAGGCCCAGAGGATTCCCCTCACAGGACAAAGTTGTAAATCTTGGCGGCGCGCACAAGGGGGCAGGTGGAGTGGGGAAAAGGCTTCTTCGAAGGAGCCTGCTTCTCAGAAGCCGCTGGCCTCAGACCCATAGGCAAGGCCAGAGCCTTCTCAGACGCAGCCTTCTTCTGGGAAGCCTTCCCTAAAGGCCTCCTAGAAAGGGGTCGGTCGGAGTAGATGGGATCAGAGGATCGTGCCGTATCGCCGATACACCGGCGATTCATCGCCGATGCATCGGCGACGCCAGCGTGAAGAAAATCGGGCTCCACATCGAGCCCCATCGCCGATGCATCCACGAACGGCGCGATCCTCCGACCCCGTCTACTCGGACCCCATCTGAGAGGCCTGGACTCTGGACTCCCCCCTCCCCTTCCCGGCCTTGAGCAGGGTTGCTCATCTGTCTCACACGCCGCGAGAGAGGGGGGGCACTGCTTGCCCGCTTCTTTCGGAGGCTTGGGAATGAGCACCAACATCGAAACAGGGGGGCGCGTTCGCCGGGGGAGAACGATCCTAGATTTGGGTGTTGGGGGTAACATTTCGGCTACCTGGAAGCACGAATATCACCGCCATCACCGAGATCGGGATCATCTTCCCTCGTTGGAGGCACACCGCCCATAGTGGTGCTGGTGCTGACCTCTAGGCCTCTGACTCTGTCCTCTCTTGCATCTGCACGGCCATGCCAGGCATCGCCCCAGGGCCCAAGGGCCGGCACGCCAGGTCCGCCCCCGGGCACACTCGCGGCGGAAGACCCTGACCAGCCTCACATGACCCTGACCCGCGACCCTGACCCGCGGCACAGTCCACGCCCGGGGGGGGCCACGATGGGGGGCCGGTCGCGGGGGCCTGGGCTCGTCCACTGGGCGTGGAGCAGACCATACACGGCACCCTCGCAGGCAAGCCGTATACGAAGCATCAGCGTGAACCCTTCGCGTGCGGCTTTCTCGGGTCGGCGCAGGGCCCCCCTTCGGCGCCGCCGCCAGCACGCTCCGCGCGCCGATGAAGGGGCGCGGGGAGGGGGGCCCAGCGCCGACCCCCAGAAGCCCGCGCAGACCTCCGAAGAGTTCGTGCTCACGCAGGTCAGCTCCGTCGCTCCTCGAGTCCCTCCCCCGAGATCTGGGCCTCTGCTCACCGGCTGCTCGGCGGCTCGATTGCTGAGCCAGGCGGTGGTGCGCTCTGGGATGCGGCTGCTGGGCCCCTGCCCCGAACCGAACCGAGGCCGAACCGAGGCCGAACCGCCTCGATGGCAGCGCCCGAACTGCTCTTGGAGCCCCTGTGATCCATCGGCCTGGAGACACAGCCGCCCTGCGGTGGCGACGACGGGGCTCCCTTCGGTGAACAAGCAATCACACAAACATACAAACTCGGAGGTCCGCGCGGAGTTCTCGGATAGGCGCTAGACCCCCTGGCGGAATCCGTGCGGACCTCCGAATTTTTACGTGTACGTCTTTGTTTTTGTCCTCGATCCCTGGCAGGCACCGAATCCGATGAGACTCGAAAGTAGTGAGCATCTGACGGGAAACGCCTGCGGAGAACGGGGTGGGCCTCCTCGAGGCCTCCGGAATGCCCCCGCGGGCCGACATGGCGGGACCCCCCTCGGGGAACGCTCGAGCAGCAAGAAAAGCAGAAAACAAAGGGATAGCGGCAGATAGTGCACCGGTGGCGGGTCTGGAGCCGAACAGGAGTGGTATGGGTGTGACACCCCTGCCACTCCTCCCCCTCCTCCCCCTCCTGCTTCTCCGCCCCGCCTCCGACTCCTCAGTGGCCCCCGAGCCTCCTCAGCTCCTTCAACGCCTCAGTCACCTGCTTTTGTGGCGGCACGCCCAGGTGGGAGGAGGAGGAGAAGGAGGAGGAGGAGGAGGAGGAGGAGAAGGAGGACCCCCCCCCTCCTCCAACTTATGGTGGTGGTGGTGGAAAACAGGCCCACCATCTTAGAAGCGTATTGAAGACCTCTTGGGGACCTCTTGGTCGGCTTGCGGGCCTCCTACAGGGGCGCACGCCCCTGCAGGAGGCTCGGAAGCAGGGGGCTTCTCGGCAGGCCGGATGGCTTCCGAGGAGCCCCGCCGCCAGAAGGCCTGGCCCCCTCTCGGGTGCCCCCTCGGCGGGCTGCCGGCCTTGCTCCTTCCCCTGGACCTACGTCTTCGCCCTTGCCCTCGTCCATGTCTTTGCTGTGTCCACCGGGCCTGGCAAAGAGCTCTGTGCGAACCAAAAGGTCGCCAGGCAGAGCGGGAACAGCCCTCGTCCATCTTCTCTACGAAAACGGCGCTCATGCACGGTGGCACCGTACCATGTTTGGACGCCCTTCAGGCTCTGCTACAACGCGGCACCATTCCTGCGTCGAGGATCGACGACGCCTCAGAAGACGCCCACGCGGTAGAGTGAACACGTCGTCCGTGGATTCTCGTTCCTCTCATGCGCGAGTGCTGTACAGAATGGGGCCCGTCACTGAGCCACGCGCCTTAATCCATATCTCGAGCCGCCGACCATTCTTATCCCCCTCATGCTCGTCGTCGCCCTCGTCCATCGTCTCGCTAGTCTGAAGTCGCCGAGGGGCGGCCAAGACGCCCCAAGAGGCCCCCAAGAGTCACCAAGAGGCCCCCAAGACGTGCAAGAGACTTCCAAGAGGCCTCCCCCAGGAGACATCCCAGGAGACTCCAAGAGACATCCAAGAAACCTTGGCACACTGAGGCTCCTCGCTCCCCGAAACAAGTATATCCTGGGCATCATTCCTGGATGAGCTGGTGGAGATACGCAACACATTAACGATTTCAAAATTTGCTTGCTTTCGGGATGGTGTTTGTTCTCGTCGTCGTGGTCGTTGTCGGTCGACGTTGGTCGTCCGTCGTCGGTCGGTCGCCCCAGGGAAGCTCGTCGTCGTCGTCGTCGTCGACGCCGCCGACGACGCTGTCGCAGAAAGGACGCGGCGGCGGCGGCGACGACGGCGAGGCTGCCCCAGGGCCCGAAACGGGCCTCCACAGGCCGAAATCAAGGACATACCACCTGGATCGGATACGAACGCGACGTCGCTGATCATTCCCCTCTCCTCCCGGCCATCTCAGGGGGAACACACAAACACATATACATATACACATACTATGTATATGTATGTATGCACATAAGTACATACATGTATACATACACATACATACATACATACATACATACATACATACATACATACATACATACATACATACAGACAGGCAGGCAGGCAGACAGACAGACAGACACACATACACACATACATACATACATACATACATACATACAAACATACATATTGCCATACATGCATACATCCATACATACATACATGCATACATACATACATACATACATACATACATCCGTCCATACATACATACGTATTTACAGACAGAAAGACAGACAGACAGACAGACAGACAGACAGACATGTATGCATACATACATACATCATACACATATAGACACTCACATACCTTCCCTCCTCTCTGCACATATGTACACATGTACACATGCTAGAATTGCGCGCGAGTTGCACACGCGCGCTTACGTTCTAGCCGACTGCGCAGTCGTTGTCAGTGGACCTTGTGATAATCCACGAACCCCAAAATACCAAAGGAGAGGTCCCCCAGGCAAGGGCCGCTGCTGGGGGTGATTTCGGTTTCTGCGGGCTGTCGCGGAACCGTGCGAAATCGACGTGCGACGCGTCGGAAAGCTGGACAGCTCCGAACGTCGCCTAGACTGTGCAAGTGACGAAGCCACCACGGTGGCCGAGGAAGGCCCCACAAGCTCCGGACCGCCAAGTCCTCGCCACTGCCACCTCCGCGGCCACCACCGCCGCAGCCGCCGCGGCCGTCATGATGATCGTCGTGGTGGTGCCGTCGTAATGGTCGTGGTGGTGGTCGTCGTCCGTGGACGTGATCGGACGAGTGCATGTTCTGGGGTATGTTGCTTGTCTGGAGCCTTCAGAGACCTTCGGACTCTGGAGATCTGTAGAGACCGTCGGCCGTCGTCGAACGATCTTCGCCGTTATGGTCGTCGTTAAACCTGTGGAAACCGCCGGAGCTCCTCGTCGTCACTGTCGTCGCCGTGGTCGTCGTGAATGTGGTCGTTGTCGTCGCTGTCGTCGCCAACGTCGCCGCAGTCGTCTACGATCGAGAGGAAGAATGAAGGATCCAGAGTCGAGGATCGAGGTTTGCAAATTATGTTGGGTCTTCTGGGGGCTCGCGGGGTCGCTTTCGTCGCCGCGGTTGCCAAGGGCCTGGGACTCCCCCCAGCGCTCTCTTCCTTGTGCGGGCTGTGGCCTCCGCCGTCGCTACAGCCACCACCGTCGTCGTCGTCGTAGTCGTCGTCGTCGTCGTCGTCGTCGCCATCGCCATCGTCGTCGTCGTCGTCGTCGTCGACGCTGCATGTTTTTGCGCGGGTCTGGACGTGGTTGGCCCTTCGTGGCCTCCCGTGCCAGAACTCGGGAGACACCCGGAGACCTCTGGGGACAGTCGGGGGTCGTCGTCGTCCTCCTCGTCGTCCTCAGCACCTTTCCTCCCCCTCTTGCTCCTGCGGTGTGATTCGGAACATCCGCTTGGATGTTCACAGATAATACTCAGGGACGTTGATGTAGATGTTCCTGGAGAGGCATCTGGAAACATCGCTCGGGTGCTCCTGGAGAAGATCTGGGCCCATGCTGGTCCAACAAAGCCCAGGAGGGCCCGAAAGGGTCCCAAGGCAGCTCCGGGAGCGGCCCAAGAGACACAACAAAACAACACACATTTCACACCAGCCCGTCCTCTACAAGGAAACAGTTTGTGATACATTTGTGCTGGATTTCGAAGTTCCTTCGAGGCCTCTCAGGCCGTCCTCGGGACCTCGGGCGGGCTTCGGGAGGGCTCCAAGAGGGCCGACAATCTAACACAAGTTTACCACAAGCCGCTGCCTCGTCGGGGACTGTACTAAACTCGTGCAAAATGTTTAGGCTCTCTTGGGGCTCTCCTGGGACCCCAACAGGCTCACAGGAGAGCTATCCAAGACAACCCGGGAGGGCTCGAAGGGGCCCAAGGGAGCTCTGAGAGCGTCCCAAGAGACCCAACGATTTAACACAAACTTTGGCACAACGCCGTCCCTGACGAGGCTGCCGTTTGTTTGAAATGTGTGCTAAATTGAAGGCCCTCCAGGAGCTCTCCTGAAACTCCCAGAGAGGCCCTCAAGAGAGCTCTGGAGGACGGCCTGGGAGGGCCCGAAGATGCCCCAAGGGAGCTCCAAGAGCGGGTTAACAATTTCATACACATTTAAAACAACGCCATCCTTGTGAGAAAGCGGTTTTTGTGACATTTGCCATTCATTTGGGACACTCTTGGGTCCGTCTTGGGGGCGGTCTTGGGGGTCTCCTGGGACGTCGTTGCGCGCCGGAAGCTGGAAAAGTCGAGAACCTCGAATTCGAAATCCCAAGAAATTCAATGATTGTTGCCTCGTGGGGCCCTCTGGGGAACGCTCGTCGAGTCCTCTTGGGCCGTTTGGTGGCATATTGAGATGGACGGCCCAAATTATCGCTTCGGGCTCCTGCTCTTGGGCCCCTCTTCGGGCCCTCTTGGGCCGTCTCGGGCCCCTCTTGGGGCAGTCTTGGGATCCTCGTGGGCTATCTTGGGGCCCTCTTGGGGGCCCCTTGGCCAATCTTTGGGCGGTGTTGTGGGCCTCTGGGGACGTCGTGGAGCGTCGGAAGCTGGAAAAGTCGAGAACCCACGGGAAAACCCAAAGGAAATCAATGTTTGTTGCCTCTTCGGGCTCTGGGGAGTGCTCATCGAGTCCTCTTGGGCCGTCTGGGGGCATCTTGGGATGGAAGGCTCAAATTGTCGCTTCGGGCTCCTGCTCTTGGGCCCCTCTTCGGGCCGTCTTGAGGCCCTCTTGGGCCGTCTTGGGCCCCTCTTGTGGCAGACGTGGGACCCTCTTGGGCCGTCTTGGGGCTATCTTGGGGGCATCTTAGACCTCCTTGGGGCGGCATTGAGGGCCTGTTGGGACGTCGTGGAACATCGGAAGCACGAAAGTCGAGAACCCCAAAAGCATTGAAAAACTTACGTGCAATCGATGATTGTTGCCTCTTGGGGCCCTCTGGGGAGCGCTCGTCGAGTTCTCTTGGGCAATCTTGGAGATATCTGGGACAGTCCAAGAGCCAGCGGGACATCGGGAAGCCTTCGGGTGTCCCTTTGGCGCCAGTGACGGCCGTATGGGCGGCCCTCAGGCCGCTGGAGAGTATCCCTGGAGACCGGGGGAGCCCAGAGCACCCATGGCGACACGAGGCAGCTGGGAGAAAGCCCCCGACCCTGTCCCCCCTTATCTACCGATCTAAATATCTACATATATACATATGTGTAGATATATACACACACGCACACGCACACGCACACGCACACGCACACGCACACGCACACGCACACGCACACATACACACACACTCACACACTCTCACATTCTCTCTCTCTCTCTCTCTCTCTCACACGCACACACACACACCGATACCGCGATTCACCCGGGCTCTCCTGGGCCGCGTTCTGGCCAGGACTTCGCCGCGAACCCGGCCGTGGCGACGAGGGACGGACAGCGGCACCCACGCGCCTCCCCTCCTCCCCTCGGGTCGGGCGAAAGGGGTGGATAGCAAAGAGGGGGTTTGAGAATCAGCTCACGTAGCTGATTTTCCTGGCGCCTCCTGGCGCCGGGAGGCGCCCATGTATCGAGGAATGGGCCCCTCGGTGGGGCCGAAACCAGCTGCATGCAGGAAATTTCGTAACCCCTCCTTTCCCAATCACCCCCTTTCGTCCGGCCCGATCCCCTCACCCCCGGGGGCCCTGCAAGGCGCACGCCGCCAGCACAGCGTTGTGGGTGAGGACGTCCTCGCTCACCGTCCGCCGCCGCATGGCCGCCAGCAGCGCCAGCGCCTTCTCGTAGCGCCCCCGCCCGAGGTGGGCGCAAGTCAAGGGGCCCAAGGACACACAAATAAATACACACGAATAACGAGATTCCTAATCTTGTCTATATTCTCTGGGTTTTTGTCTTCCCCCCCCCTTCCCATATTTTCCTATATTTTCCTGGGAATCGACGATTAATTGTGTCTGTGTGTTTTTCCCCTCCTGAGCAAGGTGGGGAGACTCTGCAGGGAGGGGGTGCGAGGCGGGGGTTTATCCATAGCCATCGCCTGAAGAACCGCAGCGCTGGGATACCAGGGGGCGGTGGATGTATGCATGGTTGAGCCCCCTGGGGCCTGAATGCATCGGTATCCACCGCCTACAGAGGCACCCGGAATTCGATCCCCCTAGGCTGTGGCTATGGGCTATGGGTAGATCCCCACCTCGGAGAAAGCAACAGAGACAAGGCGGAGCAAAAATGGACGGGAGGGGCGGCAGGGAATGGGACGATATTGCACCCGGCTAAAAGCCGATGCTTGCCGCATATCACCCTCGAAGCCCGAGCAGCAAGGGCTGTGGCCGGGTGAGGCAGGGTGAGAAGGGAGTCCGACGATGCGGTGAGGGGGGCTGGGACGGGGGAGGGAGGGAGGACCCGCACGAAGCAGGCGGAAGGCGAGGTGGGACAGACAGGGCAGCTTGAGCGCAGGCCTCAGAGCGAAGGCGCAGTCAGTAGGCAGCCGCGCTGCGCACCCATTCCCCGACGCTTGGCGGCGCAAGCGAAACTTGCGCTGCTCAGGGGGGCGCGGCGAGACGCCACGCCTGCACGACTCAAAGAAGTGGGGTCACCCGCTCCCCTCCCCATGGCCTTCTTTACAAATGGACAATTTGAATACTACTCTGCTCTCTCCCCTGACTCTGTCCGGAGAGCGTCCCGTCCTCTCCGCGTACTGCTTCTTACAAACAAGAGTTCATGACATGGTGTTTCATGTGTGTTTTGTTCAATCTAGCCGTGTCCGGTTCTTCCGAGATGATGCTCCCGCTGGAGCGCCGCCCTCATTTCCGCGCTTCGGTAATTCAAAATCGTGCTCCCGCTGCAACGCTGGCCTCGTTCCCGCGCCTCCGGTTGTTCCAGATCGTTTTCCCGCAGCAGCATTGGCGTGTTCGGTCCTTCCAAGTACCGCTGATGCTGTAGCGCTGGCCTCGTTCCGGTGCTTCGGTCCTTCCAGATCCTACTCCCGCTGCAGCGGCGGCCTCATTCCCGTTCTCGGTCCTGGCCTCGCTCCTGCGCCCCAGTCCTTCTAAATCGTGTTCCCGCTGCAGCGCTGGTCTCATTTCCGTCGGTCCTGGCCTCCGTCGGTCCCATGCCACGGCATGCAATGCGATGCTGTGCTGTGCGCGGCTGTGCGATGCCATGTTTTGCGTTGCTCTGCTTTGTCATGCAGTGCTTCACTACGCAATGCCACGCCCTGCTATGACATGCTATGCTCTGCCGTGCTCTCATACGCCATGCTTTTACATCCATCGCGTACCCTCTTGGGATCATTGCCCTGCTCGACAACCCGACTGCGCGAATATGTAGGACATCTACGCCATGGGAAAGGATGGGAGAGAGGGGTAGGACGTCAGATGTGACGCTAGCGCACCTAGCTTGTCTTGATCCCCTCCCCCCCCTCCCCTCCCCCCCCGTCCTTCCAAACCTCGTCTACTTTCCCTTCCCCGTCCTCCTTTCCCGCAAGGCCAGGCGTTGACAGGCCAGGGTCTCCTTCCAGGGCTTGGCGGAAGAAAAAGAGGAAGAAAACAATGCATCGGAGGGATCTCACGCTCGAGTCCAGATCCCAATGTGCACCCTTGGCCAGGAGGGCCTACTGTACACCGCGCCAGTGTACACTCCCATACTCGCGTGCCACCGTGCACCCCCAGAACGGGCGAGCCAACGCGCACCCCCGACTCCTGCCACGAGCTGTTCTGACAAGGTCGGACACTCTTTCCCCGCTGGGGCTCATCACTGGTGCAACAGGGGCTGCCGGACCGAGTGTACACTCGGAACTCGCAGGGCAGACTTGCGAGGATGTCTCAGAAGAAACGCCAGTACACCCACGAGAGAATCCCTGTGTACACCCGTCGCGCGGCGAGCCCACCCCAATGTCGGAGTCCAATGTCGAAGCGCCACTGTGCACAGCGACCAGTGGCGACCCAGTGTACGCCCCCTGGGGACGAGTGCCACAGTACGCCCCCCAGAAGCAGTACGCCCCCCAGAAGCGAGTCCCATGGTACACCCCCTGGAAACGAGTCCCACTGTGGACCCCCTGGATATACGAATGCAGGAATCACGGCAAAACGTGCCAGATAATGAGTTCCATATTCGAGAATGCGCTACGGCGATTCATTATGGCACTGTAAGCCTCCAAGCCCGTGTTCTCCACGTGGGCATCGTGCCCCGTTGACGGACTTACACGGGCCGCGCGTCGTCCGATGCAAGTCCGTTGACGGACTTACATCGGGCCCCGATGACCGCGCGTCGTCCGGGCCGCGGGGATCTCGCGAGGGCACGCCGGGGCCACCCCAGCGGGGGCGCGACCGAGGGCGCGGCGGGGCCGAGGCGATGCGGAGTGCTCCCGCCGAGCTGGCTGCGCAGGCGGGAGCGCAGCGGGGCCATCCGCAGGGCACTCGAGAGGGCAGGTGCGGCGGCCGCGCGCAGGGGCCCCTGCGGAGGCGCAGCGGGGCCACGCGCAGGGCCACGAACAGGGCCGCAGTGGCGCCACCTGTGAGGTCGCATGTCGGGGCCGCCTGCGGGGCCGCCTGCGCGGTCACGCACGCGGCCACAGCGGGGCCACCTGCGGAGCACGTGTCGAAGCGCAGTGAGGCCGCTCGAGACTCAAAAGCGCCTACCCACTGGAGATGATGGCGAGCATGGGTCGGACGCGGTAATCCATCGAATGCTGTGTGTTCGAAAATGCGAACACGCAAATGCAAGGAAACACGTTCACGACTTCAACGTGACTCGCGCACGCCCAAGAACTAGAAGATATCCAATCGCAATTCAGCCAAGGGGTGTACAAAAATGATCATCGAACCCGGTGCGGACACATCAGAGGTCCAAAGGGTATCAAAACTGAGTCCCAATGAGACATGGCACTTCCGATATTGACCACTGTCCCTCAGCAGAGAGATCGGAAAGACAACGTGCTCTGAAAAGCGGGTCCGCCACCGCGCTGTGCAGCGGCGAGCGCGTCCCAAACTCCTGCAGTCGATGCGCCATGCGAAGCGATGCGAGCAACCCCACATCTTCGATGCCAACATCACGTTCGGACGGTCATCTGCTCATCAAATCCTCGGGCGATTTCATGAACTCGAAAAACGAATCTCGGAACACCCCTCCGCCCCCAGGCAACCTCCGAACCCCTGTCGATATCAATTCTGGAGCCACACTTTCACGCAATCCTCAGGCCGACGATGACGTCCAATTCATCTCGCGCAATTTTACCCGCTTCCTGACTTCATCGACTACACGCAAGAGTGAACCTGGGTAAAGGTGACCTTTGGTGCGCGGCGTTTTGGTGGCCGCGGGGGGACCAAACCCGAGCGCGCAAAACGCTACTATCGCACTGGAGCCACATTTTCACGCAGTTCTCATACCGACAATGACGTTCCATTCATATCGCGCAGTTTTACCCGCTTCCTGACTTCATCGACTACACGCAGGCGTGACCATGGGTAAAGGTGACCTTTGGTGCGCGGCGTTTTGGGGGCCGCGGGGGGACCAAACCCGAGCGCGCAAAACGCTACTATCGCAATCGCGCTCGGCGATGGGGGGCCCCAATGGGCCCGCACCGAAGGTCACTCCGGCGAAGGGTCACTTTTGCGGGTAGTCGATGTCACCATCCACGAATTTGGAGGGAAAAGAACCAAGGCACCTACATCGCATCTTGCTAGCCCACTCCCTCGCCTCCCTCCCTCCGCCCGCCCTCCCCAAGATTGAGCAGGGACCGACCGTCCCGGCATTTCTATCGTCCTACCACGAAACGTTCTTCGAACCAGAAAGATGTTCTAAGAACAAAACAATGTTCTTAGAACATAGACCCGATGTGATGAAACAAGGCAGACTCCGCCATAAATGTCCTGAGAACATTTCGTGGAAACCACACAAGGTTCTTAGAACATTGTTTGGTAGGGCTTTAGGCGAGCCAGGACGCTTCGCCACTGCTTGACAAGACAAGAACTGGCAGCCTGCGACCACTCGCGGCTTCTTCCGCAAGCGCTGATAGCCTCCGCGCCCGGGCGCGCGCTCCGCCAACCCGCCCGCCTGCCCCCTCTCTGCGGGGCGCAATTCATCCGCCCTGGACCAGGAGAGGTTGCCCCGGGGATGGGATTTGGTCGACCCACAAGGGGGTTCAGCTGAAAGGCGGTGGTGCATCAGATTTGGGGCAATTGTGTTGCACCTTGACTGCGCCGGAGAACTGTATTGAATTGTATTGCGACGAATGTGTTGCACGCGAAAATCCAGCAGTACGCTTTCGCCACGAAATATATTGCACGCCCCAAATGTATTGAAGCCCCACAAATCTATTGCACCACCCCCTTGTCGGTGGACCCCCTTTTGGGTCAACCCGAATGGGAGCAGGAGTGAGCAACCACACGTGAACCTCTGCAGGCCAGACTTCAGAAAAACCAGCTGGGGTTCTGAATGTCTGAAAAACCAGCTGGGGTTCTGACTCCGAACGGGCGTCTGTATCCGAATGAACCCCGGCGGGGGTGTTCGATGCCCCAGCGTTGAGAGGACCCGCAGGGGTAGGGTTCGCAATTGGTCGTCAAAGGCGAGGAGGGGGGAACAGAGGGGAGGGACAAATACTCAGAGGTCCGCGCAGAGTTCTCGGATCGGCGCTGGACTCCCATCCCTGGCGCGAGAGCGAGACAAAGGCGGCGCTAGAGGCGCCGCCAGGGGTCTCCCGCGCCGATACAAGAAATCCGCGCTGACCTCGGGGTCTTTCTGTCGATGCCATTGTTGTTCGCCTAATGAAGGGGCCCTGGGACACACAAATGAATACACACAAATAACAGGACTCCCAATATTTTCCTATATTTTCTGGGTTTTTGTCTTCCCCCCCACTTCCCACACTTTCCAATATTTTCGTGGGGATCGACGATTCATTGTGCCTGTGTGTTTTTTTCCCTCCTGACCTAAGGGAGGCAGGGAGGCGCATGGCGCTCTACGCCGAGGGGCGAGGCGTGCAGCTCCGTGCCTCTGTGCCCTCACCACATGCGGTGTGCTGATGCGGGCTCCGAGAGCAGGCAGAGGAAAGAGGACTATGCGCGTACACAGATTCTGGCCAGGCCCATCCTGAGCCCAGGATCGGTGCATATGCCCTCCTGCCGTGGCCAGGAAGGTATACGCACCGATTCTGGGTCAAGGAGGGACGTTGTCAGGATCGGTGCATGTGCATAGTTCTCTTCGCCCGTCTCGGGCCCCAGGGCGACCCTGCTGGCCTTTCCCGCGCGCAGCCGCTGACAACGACGCACGCGCAAAGACGACACCTCAATGCATGCCAGAGCAGAAGGAGGCCCGTGGAAGACACAGGAGCAGCCAGACCGTCGTTCCTGCTCCTCCGCCTAGTCCTCCTCTCCCTCCCCATCCACTCTCGTGCATGGACCATGAGTTCGCAGTGCCTAGAACGGTCAACATCGAATCGATGACTCGGATCGGGTCGGAACGTGCATCGATTCGGGCCATATCGGCGCGCAATCGGAAACAACTCGAACTGGCCGCACCAAGATCCACATCCGCGCCATGCCCGCACCAAGCAACACCGCATTGCCGGAACATCGGAATCAAGCTGGACAGGGCCGGCCGCAACCGGTATATGTTACACGAACCGATCGGATCGGCATGGACCCTGGGTGCTCTGTTTGCTTCGGACCGTCCCCGCGAACCTGGGAGAACCAAAAGGTACCGATACCGCTACTCCCCAGACCTCTCCCGGGTGCGTTCTGACCAGAATATCGAAGCGAATCCAGCGGTGGCGGCGGGGGCCTCCGAGGAGGCCGAAGAAGGCGAAAACGAGGGAAAGGGAGCAATATGGGTACCATTTCCTCCTCTGAACTTTGCTTGCTTCGGAGCGCCCCCGCGAACCGTGTTGTAGGCGACGGTGTCGGGCTCCAGCTCAGCCGCGGCCAGCTCGGAGAGGAGGCGGAGAGGAGCCGCCCAGCGCCGTGCCCGCCCGCAGGCCGCGGCGGTCACGTTGTACACGACCTCTGCGCGGCCGCCCGCGTTACAGTGCTCGCATCCAAAGGGTTTGAAGGGGCCCAGGGAGACACGAACGAATACACACGAATGCCAGGATTCTAGATCTTGATCTATATTTCTGGATTTCCGCCGTCCCCACCACTTCCTATAGTCCCGCATCTGTCTATGGAAATCGATGTTTAGTTGTGCCTGTGCGTAGTTTTCCCCTCATGCACAATGCTGGCACTCAAAGGTTATTATGTCTCTTCTTACGTAGATGGGTTAGTGTGCCAAGATTTCGACGGGTGGTCGCCCGTGGGCGCCCCAAAGCGCTGAATGGGTGTGCCAAATGTTTGCCCGATCGCCGCCCGTGGGAACCGCGTGGGCCCCCTTGTGCGCTGGCGACACATAGCCTACAACACATAGACTGCACCGCCACAACAATTCCCACACGCAACTACCACCACATGGATTGCACTCCGTGTGTTGCAGCACACAGTTTGCGCCACGCAGCTTGCACTGCATAGAGTTCAACACGCACACACACACACACGCAAACACACACACATACAACACACACACTCACACACACACACACACACACGCGCATTACATCCCAACGATGTTCGAACGAATCTCAGACTGCACCCCCATGCTGAACGTGGATGTTTCCGCCTGGCTCTCCGCATTCCCCAAAGAGTGCTTGCACTTATGGGTTCGTAAGCCTGGAATACGGAAGTTGGAGACGGCGTGTGCTGGTCAAGCGGATCTGTTGACGCCCTCGCCGCCCCGCCGCCGCCGCGGAACCGCCAGTCGAGTGGGCCTGATTGTCGGTCTGGCGGTTAGGTTGCCGCCATTGCCGACCAGGCGCCGCCCGTCGTCTGGGCGGGTTTGTCGGTCTGGCGGTTGTCATTGTCGCCGTCGCCACCCCGTCGGCGCCTCGCCGACCCACACAGGTTGCATCACATAGAAATTACACCGCGCGGATTGCTCCACTAAGTCTGCGCTCTCTCTCTCTCTCTCCCCCTCTCTCTCTCTCTTTGGTGTCTCTCTCTCTCTCTCTCTTTCTATATGTATTTATGCATATTGTTATATACACACTTATGTATACATATATATATATATATAAATATATATGTATATATGTATGTATATATATATATATGTATGGAAGGCGGCCCTCTATGCACTCCCCATCCTAATCACATTGTGACATCGTGACATTGTGACATTGAATTTGGGGGATATTCTCACGATGTCACATTGTGCGAGACATTGTGACATTGTGACATTGGATGTGGGGGATATTCTCACAATGTCACACGGTGCAAGACATTGTGGCATTGTGACATTGTGACATTGGGTTTGGGGTGTATTCTCACACTGTCACACTGTGCGAGACATTGTGACATTGTGACATTGGATTTGGGTGATATTCTCACGATGTCACACTGCGCGAGACATTGTGACATTGTGGCATTGTGCCTCACCTAACCATATGAATACGATAGGACCCCTACAGAGGCAAGCTCTAACTGGGGAGTATTAAAGTACTGCAGCTATTACAGAGATGGACGACGGTATTGAATGTTCCTGGGAATTGAAGAACAGAAAATTTAACACGTGAAGTCGCGACACGGATGTAGGGCTGCTCATTTTCAAATTGCGGCTCTCGCTTCAAACGTCCTCGATGTCCATGGCAAGAAATGTAACCTCCTGCAGCGGTTGCACGGATGAGGTGCGGTCCTTTGTCAAGCATAGGATATCGCTGGACACCGCGTTGAACTGTATGATCATGTCCGTTCGCATTCTAGAAGATGCACAAGAAGGATGCAAGGCGATTCCTTTCAAAGCGGGGCTCTCGCCTGAATGGCAAGCGCGTAGGGAGCTGGCTTTTCAAGGGGGCGCCATCTTCGGTGAAAAGGGAAGCTTTTATTGGGACTTCTTAGGAGGCGAGCTGGGGATAGGTGAGTGGATTGAATCATTGCTGATTCATATGATGTTTACTCCTGTCATCCTCGTGAGTGACTCGTGACTGCGGACTGTGTCCTCGGTCCTGGAACGAAGCCCTCGACCTCTCCCTGGCCAGCGCCAGGGGGAGGGTGAGAAAGAACAGGAGGCGAAGGGAGAAGAAGCGGGGAGACAACGAAGACGAGTGCACCTGAGCGGGATGATGATGATGGACACCTGCAAAGGTAGAGGCCTCCTAGATAGGGTCGGAGTAGATGGGGTCAGAGGATCGCGCCGCATCGCCAATACATCGGCGATGCATCGGCGATGCATTGGCGATGCATTGGCGATGCATTGGCGATGCATCGGCGACGTCGGCGACGCATCGGCGACGTCGGCATGGAGAAAATCGGGCTCCACATCGAGCCGCATCGCTGATGCCTCGGCGATGTAGCGATATCGTCCGACCCCATCTACTCCGACCCCATCTGGGAGGCCTAGAATTAAGTCGGGCCTGTCCCCCTACAGGGGGATTTTCGACGAAAAATAAAAAATACACCAAAGATAATCCAAAAATAATCTGGGGACTGTCCTTTGCAGATGTTTGCTGCCAGTTTGGGATATGTTTGGGGGATTCTCTATTTTTCGTCGAAAATCCCCCTGTAGGGGGACACGCCCGACTTAAGCCTAGAACAGGGAAGTCCTCCTCCTCCTCCTCCTCCTCCTCCTCCTCCGCCTCCCTCCTCACACGCCCGCTCCTGGCCCCGCCCAGGCCGACCACGTCCAGGCGCGCCGCGGCCACCGCCGCCTTCGGGGGCTGCGACGAGCGAGGAGCAGGACGGGCACGGGGCGCAGGTGGCCAAGGGGAGGGCACAGGGGCCCGGCGACGGCCCCCAGAGGCAGAACACTGCGAACCCTCGACCCGACTGCAACACTAAGGACGCGGCGTCTGCACAGGGGCAGCCTGGTGCACAGGACAGGAGGACGACGACGAGGACACGAGCACAGAGGGGGGAACGGGCGACGGTCAGGGGACAGATGAGGGGGAGCGAGGGGAGAGGGGAGAACTTTGCTTCGGCTCGGTGCACGGGACGCGCGACCCCACTAGCCCTCGAGGTGCAGGTGGTGCAGCGATCAGCTGTTCCAGAAACCCCTCTCCCTCCTTCGAGTGGGGGAGTCCCCCCACCCTGCCCCATCACCTGGATCCTGGGCGCGAGAGGTCGAGCACATTGCTCACTGTGACAATACAAAACACCGCATGAATGTGCACGTGAACGTGTCTTCGTACATCGCGCAAAACATGCACAAGCGCACACACGTATACGAGTGCACCTGTTGGAAGTAAGTCCTTCTCCTCCTCCTCCTCCTCCTCCTCCTCCTCCTCCTACTCCTACTCCTCCTCCTCCTCCTCCTCCTCCTCCTCCTCCTCTCCTCCTCCTCCTCCTCCTCCTCCTCCTCCTCCCCTCCTCCTCTCCCCCCCATTCAAGGCCACACACCCACTAATACAATGTATGCAGTGGCGTTCCCTGGCCCCCGCAGTCAACAAACCCCCAACCCCGTCACGAAACTTACCAACTCCTCCTCCTCCTCCTCCTCGTCCTCGTCCTCGTCATCCACCTCCTCCTCGTCGTCGTCGTCCTCCTCCTCCTCCTCCTCCTCCTCCTCCTCCCTCCCCCTGTTGCTCATCCCCCCTACCCCTGCCCGTCCTCCTCCTCAGTATCGCGCTTGCGACTGTGGCATGCAAGTGTTGCCACAAGAGGAGCTCACGGCAATCGAATCAGAGCAGATGAGACTGCCGATGCCGGCAACGGCCACCAGGAACAAGGGGAACCATACACTAACAAATGAGGGAATGAGGACGGCGGTAACACATATGAGGAAGGATGAGGGGGCTGGAGCGAGGAACGCACTCAACTAGACTGAGACACACCAGTCACCTCGCACACATAACAGGCTAAGGGAGGGACATCGCTTCGACAACAGCCACCTCTTTAAGCTGACAGTCCAGATTTTGCAATAACTTCCTCGTACTTCTTCTTACCGACCCTCGTGGCAATAACGCTGGCCTTACTTGATACAGCGTCCTCGATGAACTTCTTGCACACGTCTGCGGCGAATATCTTGGTTATGAGGCCGATCTCTGTCTTGATGTCCGTCACCCTCACAGCGACCTCCTCCTGCCCGAAAGTCTTGTCCATGTCGACGGTCACTTCCACTCTCTGGCTGCGCTGACTGGGACCCCCGTCGCCCCCACCAAACGACGCAACCTTCTGTACTGCCCCTGACGCCTTCGCGGCCAGCACCGCAGCTTTGTCGCTATCGAGCTTGAGCTTCGCGAGCGCGTTGGCAGCGCCCTTCTGGGCGGCCAGAGCGGCGAGCTCCGCCCTGGTGCCCATGACCTCCACGAGCGTCTTCAAGTTCAAAGCCCTCAGGCAGAAATTCTGAGGGCTGAGCTTGACGTTGCCGCCCTCTTTGATCTCGAGGGCCTCAATCGTCACCCACACTTCGGGCTCCCTGCGCATTCGCAGCCTCGTGCCAGCCAGTTCGTCCCTCAGCGTGTTCAATGCGAACGTGCCCTCCACCTGGCAGCAGCCGAGAAGGGCGGCACCCATCGCCTCAAGGCTCCACACTGTAGGGCCGGCTGAGACTGTAGGTGCAGCCCAGCGGACTGGCTTGAACTGGTGATCCCGAGCCACACCTGGCTAAGGATGCGGAGTCCTCGTCGTGATGGTAGAAGTATGTCCAATGTGCAAATGGCGGTGGCATGTCATGCGAACACCAAGGTGCCCGGGCCATGGTCGAACGTATACTGGCGGCAGAGGGTGCCGATGACGTTTGTACGGTTTTCGACAATGATAATGCGGATTGCTGCGATCTCGGTGACGATGATTCTACGATGCTGACAACGATGATCAACATCGCCATCATGGCAATTACGGCCACTTCCCGTCACCATCACGACCAATTATCCGCCACCTTGCCTCGATACATGACTTGGAGTTCCATTAGATCCCTTGGGGTCCTCTGCGTTGAATAGTGTAATGCTCTTCGAAGGGCCCACACAGCCCAAAGTTCCGAGCGCTCTCGGGGGCTTCTGGCATTTCTCGCGTGTCTCCACATTATTTTTCCGAACGAAGAGGGCCTCAAAACGGGCCAAGAGGGCCCAGACAGGCCCTAGAGACGGTCCAAGAGGGACCCGAGCCGTCCCAAGAGCTCTCCAAGACGCTCAAGATAGCCTCAAGACGGCCCAAGGGGCCCCCAAGACGCCCCAAGAGGCCCCGAAAGGCGCCCCCAAAGTGTCCCAAGAGGCACAACTCATTGAGCTTTCATCGATTGCTGAACGATGATTAAGCTTCCGCCTTTTCTGGCTTCCAACGCTCCAAGATGGCCAAAGATGCCCCCCAAATTGCCCCAAGATGGCCCAAGAGGCCCGCAAGACGGCCCAAGAGGGCCACAAGACGAGCCAAGAGACGCCCAAGACGGGTCCAAGAGGGCCTCATGCTCAACGTGTCATTTTGAGCCCTCCGCCCCAAGATGACCCCAATGACCGCCAGCAGGCCCCCAAGAGACTCCCAAGAAGCTCAGGGGGTCTCCAAGAAGCCCACATCAGGCCCCAAGAGACCCCCAAGAGACCCCCGCGAGGCCCCAAGATACCCCAAATCCGCCTCCACGAGGCTTTCCAGAGAGCTCCTGCTTGTGACTAAGTAGGCGGAGCTTGTTGGCGCTGGCGTGTGGTGCGCGACGGCTGAGGCTGCGCGTGCTGGCAATGTGATGTGACGTGGAGCGGCCTCGGCGATACTGGTCATCCGTCGATTGACGCAGGAGCTTGTCAGCAGCTTGTCGCACTCGGCCACGGCGGCAGAGGAGCTTGGCGCACTGGACAGGATGGGGGAACGCACGGCGTGACTCTCCATGGCCCGGCCCTCGGCCATGGCCGTGAGGCACTTGGAGGTCGCAAAGGAGTGCGGTGCCAATGCTGAAAATAGCAATGTTATCTACGATAGCCGCAATGCGATGCACCCCGATTTCAACAACGCTGGTTTCGCGTCGACCGCTTCAAACAAAATCGATAGAATAATTCCGACTCCCCATCCGACCGCCGTCCAATCTGAACGGCGACAAAAAAGGTCAATCCATGACGCCGGATCGCGGGGCACGCGATTCCGTAAATTCTGGAATTTCCGGAACTCATTTTTGTGATTATGCAATTTCCGGAACGTCGTTTCGGAATTTCCGGAAGTATGGTTTGTATTGGAAGAATGCTATTCCTAAATTCTGGAATTCCCCGAACTACGTTTTGGGCGATACGGAAATTCTGGAATGGCGCTTTTCGCGATTCGGATTTTCTGGAATTTCGTGCTTGATGATCGGGCGTCCGGGAAAAGGTGTAGTGTTACCGTTCACATAAGTTTGCGGTCGTTTGGGGAAGTTGGAATCAAGAGCTCTGACGTTGCTCGAGGCGGTCCGCGTCAAGCCAACGTTGTTAAAATGGGGATGCAACGCTCTTGCGGCTATCGTAGATAACATCGCTATTTTCAGCATTGGCACCGCACCCCTTTATACCACACCCCTTTGCGACCTCCATGCGGCTGGGATGGAAGCTGGACGGCCAGCTGTAGCGGCTGGCAACCAGCCGCGCACGCTGAGGCGATGAAGGACGCTGGTGCAGCGCTGACAGAGCGGTGAGCGGCCCCAGGGCGACTGGCAGCCAGCAGCGCGCAGCTCGTCGCGGACGCAGAGGTCGAGATTTGTTTGTTTCGGCGGCTCGTTGCGAGCCGGCGGGCGCAACTGGCAAGTCGCTGCAGATAGACCGAAGCACACCCAAAACAGAGTGTGCAATCCGTTCCTCCCAGATGGGGTCGGAGGATCGCGCTCTACCGCCGTTGCATCGCCGATGCATCGACGACTTCGGCGATACATCAGCGACGTCGGAATGGAGAAAATCGGGCTCCGCATCGAGCCGTATCGTCAATGCATCGGCGATAGGGCGCGATCCCCTGACCACGTCTGCTCGAACCGTACCGAGGACGCCAATATCAACGCACGGTCGCTGTGGAGAAGGCCCGCTGGGGCGTAGCAACCGCAAACGGCCGAGCGCCAAATCGTTTTCTACTCCAGACTGCCGCTGCAGTGTGGTTTGGGTGGTCATCTGGCGCGGTGAGTCACGAATCCTGACGCCGCGGTTGCACAAACGGCGCAAGAGCTCCCCGCAAGAGACATCGATCAACCAGAGGAGGACGAGTCGGCGCTGGTAGCAGCCACCGCCGTTGCGGATCGAGAATATGTGGAGGCAAGCGGCACTGTCGCAAATATCCGCCACCGTGCTCTGAAAGTTTTCGCAAGGACCCGCCTCCCAATCACGCTACCGTGCTTGCCCCGCCCCCCCGCCCCTCGCTGGGCCGCGCTCACGCCTCTGGTGCTCTCCGATTTCTTCCGACGCTTCAAGGACGGCCGAGAAAGTTTCACAAAGGCCACAAACGTTGCCAAATGTGCTTCAGCAAAATACAGGATGGCCTCGATACGTCCGAAGATGCCCCCACTGAAGCAAATTAGGGCTCTACGATGACCTTTAGGTGGGCCAGAAGACGCCCAACTGATTGATGTTCATTCGAAATGTTTTTACAAATCTTCGCGTTCTCGCCTTTTCGGGCTTCCGTGAGCGCAAGACGGCTCAAGGGGTCAAGATAGCCCCAAGACGGCCAAACATGCCAGCAAGAGGGCCCCCGAGACGGCCCAAGAGGGTCCAAAGATGGCCCAAAAGGCAAATAAAACAACTCCAAGACGGCCCAAGAAATCACCAAGACGACCCTAAAGAGCCCCGAGAAGGTCCCGAGACGGCCCTGAGAGGCCCCCAAGGCGGACTCCGAAGGCGCCATACGGCCCAAGAAAGCCTTAAAAGCCCTTACCATGCCGAGAGGGCCCCAACGCTCCCCCAAGAGGCCCTCAAAAGGCCCCCAAGCAGCCACTAGTAGGCCCCAGGAGGGAAGGGAAGAAGAAGAAGAAGAAGAAGAGGATGGGAAGCATCCGCCGGCCCCCTTGCGGGGCCACCAGGCTGTAGGCCGGGAATGTGCTGCTCCCTGTGCCAGTTGCAGCTTCCAGTTTCCACTATTACAGTTCTGCTTATTGTTGCTGACTGTTCTTGTTGATGAACGCGCGAGGGGAGGGGAGCCCAAACCAGCAGAATTACCACGCCCTGGGAGGGTTCTCAGCATTTCTGGGGGGGTAACAATTCGCACCCCTCACGCAGATCCGCAAGGTCAGGGTCCAACATGATCGACCCACGAACCCGGAAAGGAATATAGAAATGTAAGGCATGGCAACGTTTCAAAGACATCTGATTGGGCGACGGGCACGTGCAATGCTGAATGTATCGATCTTGATGTACTGTGCCGAGGGCTGTGCTGTGCTACGCCGTGCTGAACTGCGATGTGCCATGCTGCGATTCATTCTGCTCTATATAGCGTTGTGGATCGAGTCCTCCCTGGCATCCGAGTCCTCACCGAACTGATCTGGATCGTAAGCTCGAGTTGCCTGAGCAGATGGTAGCTGCCCCAGAACTAATCGACAGAAGGGGCATGCCAGGAGGACGCGCCGCGGAACGTCCCAATTGTCGCGCCAGGCGACGTGTCGGGGGACGTGCCATGAGCACGCACCGCGGGACGTGCCAAGGGGACGCGCTACGGAACGTGCCAGAGGACGTGCACCGCGCGAAGTGCCAGAGGGACTCGCCACGGGACGCTCCGCGGAACGTGCCAGGCAACATGCCAAGCTGCAATGCTAAGGGTATCAATCTTGATGTACCGTGCCGAGGGCTGTGCTGTGCCTGGGCGACCTGGACACGTGAAACCCGCGTTTCGCTCAAGGCGTTCTCAGCACATCCTCATGCTAGACATCTACCTGGGCAACCTGGACACGTGCAAACAAGCGTCTCGATCGAGACTTCCTCGACACATCCTCATGCTAGACATCCGCCTGGGCGACCTGGACACGTGAAAACAAGCCTCTGGTTCGAGACATCCTCAACAAATCCTCATGCTAGACATCTGTCTGAGCAACCTGGAGGCGTGAAACCAAGCGTCTCGCTCGAGACATCCTCAAGACCTGGGCACTTGAAAACAAGCATTTCACTTGAGAGATCCTCTGAACTCAGGTCCCCAGGAGAGGCCAATCTATAACACAAACAAGCATTTCGCTCGAGACATCCTCAACACATTCTAGAACACAGGCGTTTCGCTCGAGACATTCTCAAAATTAATTTCGGCCAGCCCTACGCGACCTCGTTATTTATCGCAAAAGAAATTCGCCGGCCCTACACCCGTCAGAACCGAGGGTAAACACACCAAAGGAAAACCCTGGGCCCCCGCCCTTTCCGGGAACAAGCGAATTAGTCGAGAAATCCTCGAAATTCCGGTGCGTGGGATGCGGCACGCGCGAGACATCCTCGGAGTTCATGCGCGCGGGACGCTTTTCCGCGTCGCGGTCGGAGCTCCAGACCTCGTTTTTGTTTGATATTCTGCCAAAAACGCCCCGCACCCTCTTCTGTACGAAGGAAAATGGTGGTCCGCGGACCCCGTAATTTATCGAGAATCCAAATCCGCCGGCCTCCTTCAAG